GTAGGGACAGCCTGCTCCACCCGAGCTCGTCTTACAATAGCAGACTAAAAACAGGAAATGAAACTCAGTCCCCGTCCCCCACCAATTGCCACCCGCCTTCCTGGCGAAACGGAAGATGAAAAATCCACAATGAAGCCACTTAATTTTAAACATATTTCCACTACGCACATTTTTAGATATGCCTTATAATGAAATGAAAGATTAATCTCACAAAAAAGTGGCATGCACTGAAACATTGATAAGGATGAACTGATCTGTAATACAAGTCAACACCATCAAGTTGTAGGACTTACGGTGCCTCATGTATGGTCATGACGTCAGGTACACTCTTAGCATAAGGGGTTCATGGTTCTATATAGAATCAATTTCTTTACCAAATAACCCTTGAACCCTCTTTTAAAGAGTGTAGCACCAGTGGCATCGAGGTTTGTGTTCACAGTTTTGCAAAATGGGTTAAAAAAAGAGGAGAGAAGGAGCTGAGAGGGAAAGAGAGAGTGTGCTCAGGACAACTAATTAAGCAACAGAGCAGGTCAGTCTTTTACCTCCTCTACTAACCTGACCACTCTAGTTAGCTAACTGCTACCAACTGCTTCCCTCTGTTGGGAAATAAATTATTCTACCACCGACCAAGATGATCTCCGTTACTGATTTTAAGACTTTAGTTAACTGATTTCAATAATAATGGCACGTTCAGCGATTGTTTACAAAAATAGTCCAGGTTCTGTTTCCTAGCAAATCCATCTTTAACTGACTTTAAACAAATAGAACTGACAGGACTTACATTTGTAGTTCCTGCTCAGGGTGATTAAAGGTATTACTGAGCTTTAACTGCACAAATCCTTGTATTCGAATTATTAAATGAAGTGGATCATTATTTACACTGAAATATTTAAGTGACTAAGCTGATTATAGTACTGTCATACTTCATGGATGGGTAACCTAGTTAGGTGGGCTATCACATGATACATTCATACAGTTTAACAGTTTGTAATAACTTCTTATTATAAATAAACAATAATATTCTAATATACATACTACTATGCAAACATCTCAGGCGTTTGAGAAAATTATGTGAAGTCATTTGTCAGAGCAGAAAGTGTTTACTTGTTTCAAAAACATTAACATTGGTATAAATACAAATAACAAAATGAACAATCTAATGTGGTTTGATGTATGTTAGTTTAACCATTTTCAAGGCTCTCCTTAAGGAATTCCAGTACTAACAGTTACGAACCAATACCTGTTTTGTCTCATCAATTTTTCATGAAATTAATAAAGTTGCGCAGCTGAAGAAATTGAACTAATCCATGCGATGGCTGGAGTGCAGCAAGAAGCCAGGAGCCAAACCTGTGTTCTTCTAACTGTTTTCAGCCAACCTGCATAAACTTCACTCACAAATAATATATAGTGATTCAAACAGGTAGTCTAACAAATATGTAACATTAGATACTAGTGGGTGAAGCAGCATGTCTTGAGAACATCAACTCATTTGAGACATAACAACAGAATAAACATACATATTACATTGTCATTTTTTATCGATTGAGCGAAATTTTGTTATGAGGGCCCATTCATTTTTTTTTTTTGCACTGGGGCCCATAAGATCTTAATTACTCCACTGGGTAGCACAAACCAGTTTACTGAGCCAATGAGCTGATCAATTCACCGACCAATAAGGACTCAGTAGCAGCAATGCTAGCGTTGTATAGCCCAAAAAACATTTGCTATCAAACGTTCAAAATCAAACATAAGCAAGTTTTCTTTGCTTTTCTTAGTAAAATACATCCTTCCACTGCCAAAATTAAAGGTCCTGAACAAGTAGTACATAATGGTTCAGAAACACAGACCATTGATGCATTATTCATCAGGTAACCATCTACAGAGTACATAATGCAGAGCATTTTAAGTTTTATTTTTCATGCACTTAGCTAAAAGAAGGCAAAGTCACATCAATTCACTTGTTTTAAAGAGACTACAAGTGATTTTATGTGATTTTGTCCTCTTTAGTACCGTTTATATAGTCCCTTAATGACTTATGTGTTTCTGAAACATTATGTTCAGCGAAATTTTATAATGGACATTTAGTTAGTTGTCTGTCTATCAGGATTGAGAAGGGTTTGATAATTTTTGGATGTTTATTTCATGAGAAATCAGGGAGAGGAAGTTAAATATCCAGGAAACGTCCAATACAAAACCCACTTTACCATGTCTGAAATGCAAAAGGATGCAACTTTTTCATTTAAAACCATTTTTATCAGCGATAAGTTTGTTTTTGCTTATAAAAACTTCATTTATCATTACAATAAATGCAAAAAAACATAAAACCATCAAAAAGTAACATTAAGTTTCAAAACAAGTAGTCAATATCGTTGGAATTTTTCTTTTTCCAGGTTTCTCCTCAATGCCTCCAGCCAAATCACACTAATGTATTATAAATTTACAAATCACATGGATTTATTGGAAATGTACAAATCACATGAATTTATTAACTTCCATCGGCAGCACATTTAAATTAATGGTGACAGTTTGTTTTGAGTGGTCATTTTAGATGAAGCAAACACTCAACAGACTCTCGGTAACATGTCAAAAACATATGAGGGTTAGGATTAGGTTTTGGGTTGAGGTTAAGGTTAGGGACCGGCGCTGGGAATGCCGGCACGAGGTGTAACGGCCAGAGGAGCCAGGTGCAGCTTGTCACACATCTGGCCTGTGGCTCCGCCTTGGCCCAAGGCCACCTCCACTTAAGGTGAGGTTTTGCGTGCGCACCTCCCTTAGCCCGGCCTCCAGGCAAGATGGTGGGTAAGCAGCACACAGACACACGCCGCGTGGTCTCTCTCTTTGCTGTTGGTTTTTCTGTGCTCCAAGTGGAGGTTTTTACGCCCTGCTTTTTGCAGAGGGAATCCCCGATCAGTGGACACACGTTCACGGTCATGACCCATCACCTCACTCGCCGGCACCGGGTGGAAAACAAGGAAGAGCTGGCAGCGCTCCTCCTCGCTCTCGCTACCGGGAGGTTCAAGGGACGCTTGAGCTGCCCCGTATGTGACAAAGCGCAGCTGGCCAGGTTAGATCGGCACCTGTCCAAGACCCACAAGATTGCGGGGAAGGACCGGGAGCAGATGCTAAACGAGGCCAAGCGCGAGTGCATCATACAGGGGCTTAGGGAGCTCAGGTCCCACGCACCAACACCGGCCCTGGTGAGCGAGTTGGATCTGGGCACGACCGTGAGAGCGTACGCCGCCGACCCCGACACCACCTCCGACGCCACCGAGCCTCCTACAGCGAGCCGTTCGCCATCGCCACCGCGACCACCACCACCACCACCACCGGCGGCGCCGCCCCCATCGCCCGACCCGGGTGAGTCAGAGGCCCGCCCCGGTACCTCGACATCCGCCGCACGAAGGCCTTCACCGAAGGGCAGGCCGCCCAAGGTTCCCCACCGATTCGCGACGTCTGTGGTCGGTAAAGTCTTGGAGGACTTCCGCGAGTTTCATTAGGGGCCCAGCCCACCAGGAAGGACCGGGAGAATTCCAATCTCCGCAAGAGCCACGCCACGCACTTCATCCTTCACATGCACCACCACAGC